TTACGACACGTTGCAATATAATATGAATAAGTCGTCAACACCCCAAAATCTTAAACACTATTTGCGCTTATTTATATATAGTATATAGTATAATATTGTATATTATTATGTATATTTTTTCATATTTTTTTCCCATGGCTAACGTTATGTTTTTATTGTATTACCTATTGTACTAGCCGCCGTACACTTTTTAAATATCGCACCGTTGTAGATATTTTTATCATAGTATTGTGATAATGAAAGTTTTTCAAATAACACTAAATTTCTGGATTACGTTGGGTTTTTATTTGGGACTTAGTTGAAACCCTAGGAATAGCTTACCTATATAGGCTATAGGATATCACTGTAACATTTCAACTGTTAACTCTCTCGGACGAACACGCCCTGTAAAACTAGTATTTTTTTTCAATGACAACACTTATTTATTGAAATATCTCAARATTAAATTATTGTTATTGTTATTTAATCACAAATTATTTTAGTACTTAAAATAAAAATCGTATAATTAGTGTAATAATATTTAACCCTTCACTTTTACGAACGTATGATATCAATCAACAAAACATCTGTTATGAACGTAAACGTCATATCATTTTAAAAACCAAAAATAACCATTTTTATTAAATAAAATATGATAATAGATACGAGAAGTAATTGACTATTACAATACCAATCGCTAACTTGAATAATCTCCTAAAATATAACGACTAAAAWTGTATTATAAATATAGTATATATACTAGAGAAAACAAATTCAGTAAGTAATGAAAGACTTACAAAATCTTAAAAAAAAAAAATCACCTTAAAATACTAAACGAATTAACGTATTCTAGCATTTTAATAAATCGAGGATAAAACAATTAAATTTGAAATAATTCTTGAATTCAGAATTTTGTTTGTTTATAGAGCGATAGGTATTAGAGCCAATTTGACCAGAAAAAAAAAACACTTGATACCAAAAATGTTATGAAAAAATATGTCGTTATTAAAAATAACAAAAAAAAAATACTAGTTAAACTGTGTGTCCACGTACTTTTATAATAATGTTTATTTTAGTATGTAAGTACCYACTTAGATAGCCAGAAAAAAATCCCTATGCAATCAAAGTATCCAATGGCAATCGGGAAATTAAGTGTTAGATGAAAATGTCTGTATATTATCATTTACTGGCTGTAGTATGATTGTTTTGATGTACCTAATGCGTAATAATAGTATAATAATCCTGAGTGTGGTCGGTTGACGTATGCAAAGGTTGAGAGAGTTACTTTAATTTTCGATTTGTGTACCTATAAGTTTCGTTTAATTTTTATCGATCAAAATGCTACTATTTTATATTGTTAAGACATAAAAAAAAATTGTTATTCAATATTATGCTTTATACCATTATCTACCGAGAATATAG